CCTCTTTGCCTCAGCCTGCTGGACAAGGGTCTCTTCAAATTGGGAGAGGCTGTGATGCACCACCTGCCTCCAGGGTGAACACTCAGATGTCAAGGTTTCCTGTCTGTTGAGGTCCATTCCTAAGGCCTTCAGATCCCGCTTGCAGATATCCTTGTATCGCAGCTGTGGTCTCCCTCTGGGGCGATTTCCCTGCACTAATTCTCCATACAGGAGATCTTTTGGAATCCGACCATCAACCGTTCTCACATCGTGTCCAAGCCAACGTCACTGTTTCAGTAATGTATACATGCTAAAAATTCCTGCTCATCCTAGGACTACTCTATTTGGAACTTTGTCCTGCTAGGTGATACCAAAAATGCATCGAAGACAACGCATATGGAAGGTGTTCAGCTTCCTCTCCTGCCGTGCACAAGGGGTCCAGGACTCACTGCAGTACAGGAGTGTGCTCAGGACACAGGCTCTATAGACCTGGATCTTGGTATATGCCGTCAGCTTCTTATTGAGCCATACTCTCTTTGGGAGTCTAGAGAACATGGTAGCTGCTTTGCCAGTGCCTTTATCCAGCTCGACATCTAGGGAGAGAGTGTCAGAGATCCTTGAGCCAAGGTTTACAAAGTCATGAACAATTCTTGCGTGGAGATGGTAATTGAGGGAGGTGAGTCCACGCCCTGTCCCATGATTTGTCTGTTCTTCAGGCTGATTGGTAATCCAAAGTCTTGGCAGGCCTTACTAAGTTGTCACTGGGGAGGATTTGTTTGCTGTTTGCAGGCTTCCATAGGCAGCTGGTTGGCTGCTTTTGAAAAGAATGCTGTATTAGATAGGCTTTGGGTAGATCCCTCATGGCTAGTCTTACATTCTTATGTCCCCTGCTGAGTAGGTGTTGTAGAGCATAATACTCATTCACAAAGGACTCCACACCTCTACCTGTTGCCAACTGAACATTTGCACAGTTCTACTCTAAGGCAACATCTGTGCCCTCCCTTTCTACCCCAAACTAGATATCTGTAGCTGGGAGAGTAAGATTGAATATTTTTGCATAGCAAGCTCATCAGTTCTTGTGGCAGAATGTTAAGCTTCCTGGCTAGCATTGAAGTAGAAGAGATATGATGTAGATCCATTGGAGAAAACATGCAAAAGAGGACAGATTTGTGTACAATGTGCACATGCTAATTGATAAGCATAAATGCGCGTTTATAAATCATTGTTATAATTTGAATAGAAATGCCATACATCTTGCTTTAACAGGGAAGATTAATGCCAGATGATCTATGTGTCTTCTTAGTCTGTGCTACACCTGTTAATTGTTAATAGGCAAATACAAAGACCCTGTTCTTCCTACAGAAATGCCATTTATAAATCTGTTTATTAAAACTGGATTAGGATTGCATATTGTCAGGGTATGATGACCAGCAATATGGAATTTTACTCTGTAGTGCATGAACCAAAGTTTGCTAACAGGCATCCTTTTGTTGCTAGCGGTTTAGACATTAATGGCTGTGCGTTGCCTTATTTTGAGGGGACAGCACATTTACCTGTTATACAAGCTGTATACTCCCTGCTTTACATTGTAGCCAAATATCATTTCTTCATGTTTTCACATGAAAAGATATACTAAAATATTTATGAAATGTGAGGGGGTGTACTTACTTTTGTGATATACTATATATATAAAAACCGGGCAACCAGTTTGACCAACAATGGTCTGGTTTACGCAGAGTCAGCACATGAAGCTGATGCAATCTATGGGGTGACATGTGAAATGTGTATTGGACATGAAGTAATGTCTAGGAGAAGACATCAGGTGATGTGCCCAATGATTGGTTGTTCAAACCACTGGTTCTTAACCTTGAGTTACTCAGGAGTTTTGGACTGCAACTCCCAGAAGCCTTCACCACCAGCTGTGCTGACTGGGGTTTCTGGGAGTTGCAGTTTAAAAGCATCCGAGTAACAAAGGTTAAGAACCACTGGTTCAAATGATATAAGTGCTGCACGCTAGGACCTCTATCTATCTATCTATCTATCTATCTATCTATCTATCTATCTATCTATCTATCTATCTATCCTATCTATCTATCTATCTATCTATCTATCTATCTATCTATCAAGAGTGGAGAGGGTAATAGGCGAGGCTGCAAAGTGGGAAGGGTAAAAGGGCTAGGGCCTTTTTCAGCTGCTGCAGCCCATATATATATAAAGTGTACATTTAATTAATAAATATTTAAATTGATATCGACAATTGATATATACATATATGTTAAAAGGGGGAGGGGTTATTCAACCCCCTGTGGGGGGATTTAGTAGTCTGTAGGTGTACATAGTTAAATCAATAGATGTATACAGTTAAATAATTAAATTAAGAAATAAATACATTAAAATAAATAAATAAATAAACAAACAAACAAACAAACAAACAAACAAACAAACAAACAAACAAACAAACAAACAAACAAACAAACAAACAAACAAACAAACAAACAA